TTTTGATTTCTGTTTTCTTTTTGTCATTTTTTTCTTTCTTGTATTTAAAGCAAAAAATTTATACTACTACAGAAACTAAGCAGATCAACTAAACTAAGAATAACAGCTAAGACAAACTGATGCAAAAAGCAGGTATGTGGGTGTACGTATATTGAGGTGGTGGTAAAAGAAATGACAAATAAATTACATTTAGAAATAAAACCTAATTAACTTAAACTACATTATTTAGAGATTATTTTAAACTACACCTCTTACTGGCAAGAGATGATGTACATTTTTTTCCTTTTTCATTTTTACTTTTCACTTGGTGAACTAGACTGTAAGAAAGAATTATTAAACTATTTATATAGAGCAGTAGCTTTGAATGAACCAAGAAATAGATAAATAAGCATGCTTTTACAAGTAAACAACTGGTGTATAGTAGACTGTAGTTATCTTAAGGGCTTTTGGCCTGCCCATTCGTGATTTTAAATCGTCCTCCTGATAGCAACACCCCAAGGTCCCTAAGGAAGTTATTCCTAATTCCTGTGGTACTTCTGTCAATAATGGTACCACCATCCACAACAACTCCAGTGAAAGAACAACCCAGGATTCTACTCTGGGGAAGATAAATTATCTTTCTATTATGATAAATAAAACCAGGGGAGACTGCTTCCCACAGACATCTTCCAGTGGCAGGGAGGAAGCTCATTCATAATGAGAAAAATCAGAACACAAAGGGAAGCAAACTCTCAAAAGATGCCTGAGAACCAGATTCAGCCAAATCAGAAGCCATCCCCATCTATTTGGAGCTTCCCAGTAACATGACTTATATACTTTCTTTTGTTTAGCTTGAGTTGGGTTTCTGTCATCCATGAGAAAGACATATTACATACAATTTACTTGTGCCATATTAAAGCAAGGTCCCTAAGAAAGTCTACTATGTAATAAAATAAATTTTCTTTCAGAAAAGCTGAGGAACAAAGTTAATAATTAAGTAAAAATCATCACATATACAGGAAATGTTTTCAAGAAATAGGAGAAATACTAAAAACAAGCGAATTTTTTAGTGTTACAGAAAACAGTTCAGACCTTACTATATATAATCACTGTAATTATCAATATCATTTTATAACTAGATGTCTGTCTAAGGATATGTATATAGTAACATTTAAAAATCAATCCACTTTTCAAAAAAATAAAAATCAATCCACTTTTCAATTCATCTCACCTATTTCTGTTTGTATATATTTATGTCTATATACATACATCACTTCATGGAAAATAGATGGGGAAACAGTGGAAACAGTGTCAGACTATTTTTTTGGGCTCCAAAATCACTGCAGATAGTGACTGCAGCCATGAAATTAAAAGACGCTTACTCCTTGGAAGGGAGTTGGTGATGGACAGGGAGGCCTAGCGTGCTGCAGTTCATGGGGTTGCAAAGAGTCGGACACGACTGAGTGACTGAACTGAACTGAACATATACGAAGTATATACTTATATACTGTATATATACCATATATAATTTATGTACAAAATATATTTATATGCTTTTTTTTAGAAACAGTAAATATGCAGACTTCATTGGTTTTTTTAGCAACAACTTGTAGAAACGTATCTTTTCTAAGTCATACTCATATATTGGGGCTGAATACTGTATACTCTAAAAAGCAATGCATATTATTGTTTTTACAATGATTCATATTTTCAAAATACATTAAGATGAAACTGTCTCAAGATATATAAAATGAGTTTTTACAAATTGTTTCATGTTTTAAATTACCATTTTTTATTTCAAGCAAAAATATTTAGGAAAAAATCATCTTTCTGGTCTAGAGCTAGCAAAATTTCAGTTCCAAAAAGTAAAACTTGAATATCTATTCCTTACTCTCAAAAGGTTTAGAAAAACATAATTATATAGAGACAGAGTGATATATGGCATAAAGTTAACAGCTGAGGGTATTTGAGAGAACTTTGTACTATTTGTGAAATTTTTCTGTAAGTTTGAAGTTATTTCAGCATCAAAGTTCACAACTTTGTATCCTGTCTATCATATGATTATTAGAGTGATGATGTCATTAAAACTACGTTCTATTTTGTGAACTTTGTTTTTATACTGATGACCCATTTTTGAGATTTCTGTCTTTATCTTTTTTTTTTAAGAACTCCAAGAACTCCAAGTTTATGAAGCCTTTTTCAGATTCATACTCTTCTCAAGAACCATTTGCCTTTTCACTTTAGTTTATGGTGATGTTTTCCCCCATGTTAAACCTATCTGATGTTTCTTTTAGGCATTTTCTTCTATGTTCTGGTTGTGAGGTACCCATTTAAAGGTTTAATATATAACCTACCTACATTTGCTTCTAGTTTGGAAAAATAAGAAGAGAAAAAGATGATAGAAAAGTATGGCATAGTAGGACTAGGAAAATTAATTTACCTGTTTCCTTATCTGCTACTAAATTTAAAAGAGAAAAATAGTTTTGGTAAATTTTCATTTTTAAAATAACTTAATTTTTTTAATGTGACTATGTACTTCATTTCTGTGGTAGTCATGTAGTTATCACAAAATGAAAGCTTAGTGTTGCAGACATGACATACCCATGCAAAAAAGAAAAAAAAAATTTGCACAAATGTTTTACAAATGTAACACTTTCATCAAACTTTTTTATTTATACTGAGAAATATCTAAATGTAATGCAAACACACAGTTCCCTGGTGGCTGAACAGTAAAGAATCTGCCTGCAATGCCAGAGACCTAGGTTTGATCCCTGAGTTGGGAAGATCCCCTGGAAAAGGGAATGTAAACATAAAATTTTACCTGAAATGTGCCACATTCTAACAGTATCTATGCCTTCAATGAGTTGGTTCTTGTGAACACAGGGACTACTTAAGAAGTTAAATAAACCTACAGAAGCTATTATATATATATAAATATTCCAGATGAAAGTTTTCCATTTAAGAAGTGGTACAGTACTTTAAGACCATAGACTGTGGCTCTAAACTAGATGGATTCAAATCACAGTTCTGTTATGAGTAGTTATATGATCTAAAGTGAAGTTAACTAATACAATTAACAATACTTACATCATGGAATCTGGGGAAAGATTAAACAGATTAATATATGTAAAGTACTTGGAAATAGTACTGGCCCATTCAAAGCATTCAACATGTTAGCTGAGTTTCATCTAAAAACCACACCCACATTTTAGTTAAAAGGAATGAAAACTATAAAGAATTGAGATCAAAAATCTCGGAATCAGGGCTTCACAGCTATTTTTCACTAAGTGCATGGCTTGTATAAACCCAAAAAGAGCGTAGAAAAGTATGTAACATAAAAACTATTGAAAATATAGGAATAATTTCATTAAGAATATACAAATAGAAGTTTTTCATATACCTGTTTCAATATAAAATAGCCTAAGTATGCCAAAAATAGAAGCTTAAAGAAAAAACTGCAAATAACAAACTTTAAAAAGATATAAACACTTTCATTGGTAAATAGAGAACATAAATTTTTTATACTCATAGAACATGTGTAAAAATTTTTCATGTACTTGCCCTCATAAATATCATAAAATTATTCAAAATATTGTTGGTAATGTTTCATGATCTAACAGAATAAGAAATAAAATAGTGACAAAAAATATTAGAGCACTTGAGAATTAAGAACTCCTTGTAGTTCATGAATAGAAAGAAATCAAAACAAATAACAAATCATATCAATGCTATAGATACAAAAAACACATCAATCCAAAGCCACAGGAAACAATGACAATTACACCAAGAAGAAATATTACAGTCTTCCTTTATTATTAAAGAAGAAACTGACTAATTTTGGTAAAGAAACATAGCACTAGTAAGCACAAATCTTACAAAATCAAAAGGAAAAAAAATCTGAATATGTGAAATAAACGGATCCAGGGAAGAGTTCAAATTCATGAAGAAAGAATAAAGTTTAATAGTCATTAAAACAATCTAAAGGCTAATACCTCTGAAAGCTCAATAAATAGGGAAACCCTTTTTGAGTCTGTTCATTAGAAAAAGTGTGAGTGTGTGAGAGAGAGAGAGATTAGGAAAAAAGTAAGCATTCAGAAGAAATTCAAATAAATACTTAAGAATATATAGGTATAGACAACCAATTTGTTAACCCAAGAGGAAGGAACAGTTCCCTTAAAAAGATAAGCTATTAAAAACCAAATCGAATAGAAGTAGAAAGCTTAAATAATTTTGATAAAAAGAGTTTGAAAGAAGTATTTTCAAGTTATTTTAAAGTGACCAGGATCAGGTGATTTTACCAGTTAGTTTCACGTAACTTTTAAGGAGCAAAACTATTATTTAAACTATTCTAAGCCATAGAAAAATAGTAAAATTTCTATTTGGTGAAGTGAACATTAGTTCCCAAATATTGTAATAAAAGTACAAAAAATATATAAATTATAATTTAATGCCATTAACTAAAACATAAACTTTGGCAATATATCAAAAGAATACTGTAAGTGTTCATTCTAGTAACACAAGAACAGTTCAACAGTTAGGAAATTTATCATCATCAATTACATCAACAAACTAAACTTTGATTTCATTATATGATTATATGATTATAATCATGAATGACCAAAAAAGCCCTTCATAAAAACTCAGTCATTTCCAATAAGAAAAAGGTAATTTAGTATCCCAAAAATATTTAAACATAACATTTCTTAACAAAAACATTAATACACATAAAATAAATAATCTTTAGACTGTCCTGATTAAATGTTTCAGAGACTTTCAATACATCTAAATACCTAAACTATGGTGAAATCTGATGGTAGTAATTAAGAAATAAGGACAAATCTGAAATTTTCTACATATATATAAAACATACATAAGAGCATATTCATACCTATGTACAGACATGCTTATATATAAATACCATCAAATTCATATATAACAACATATGTGTGTCCTCTCAGAAAATACATACTACACATAGAACTATACATTTGTATTTTCTCTAGTTCAAAATACTAGTGTACCTGTTTAGGCAGTCGGAACAAGGAATTCTTGTAGAAAATGTCCTTAGCCTGGCTCCACGTGCCATCGATGATGATTATTGTGGAAGGATAAACAGGAGAATCTAATATAAATTCTTCCAAATCAGCAGCTTCAGCCCCTGGATATAATATTAATGTATCAGACTTCTGACAAATAGTTGAAAGTTCAGGATCTCTGAAAGTTTAAAATAAAAAGTCTTTATTAGTCTGTGAGGAGGACAGAAGCTTTATTATTCTTGCTGAACTTCTCTCAAAAATGCATGTTAGTAATATTCCATGGTGTATATGTACCACAGCTTCCTTATCCATTCGTCTGCTGATGGGCATCTAGGTTGCTTCCGTGTCCTGGCTATTATAAACCAGGTAGGATGTTTCGAGAGAACAGCATTGAAACATGTATATTATCTATGGTGAAACAGATCACCAGCCCAGGCTGGATGCATGAGACAAGTGCTCAGGCCTGGTGCACTGGGAAGACCCAGAGGGATCAGGTAGAGAGGGAGGTGGGAGGGGGGATCGAGATGGGGAATACATGTAACTCCATGGCTGATTCATGTCAATGTATGACAAAAACGACTACAATACTGTAAAGTAATTAGCCTCGAACTAATAAAAATAAATGAATTTTTTAAAAAAGGTAGTAAAAAAAATGCATGTTAAAGCATTATAGCACAAGAGATATAATAATGAATAAGACAGCCTGTCTGCAAGCAAAGAAACAAACTTCAGGGGGAAGGAGACAAGTTAAAGAATCAATTAAAGAGGGGGGATCGAGATGGGGAATACATGTAACTCCATGGCTGATTCATGTCAATGTATGACAAAACCCACCACAATATTGTAAAGTAATTAGCCTCCAACTAATAAAAAATAAATAAATAAAAATAAAATTAAAAACAAAGAAAAAAAAGAAAGAGCAGATAGAAAAAATAAATAAATAAAGATAATATATGGTATCATCTCTGAACTAATAAACGGCATCTACAGAAATATACAGTTAATATCAGCTTTAACAATGTCCCTTGAGATTAGGATCAGGGTAAAGATATGGGCTTTTGTCACTCATAATACACATTGTACATACTGAAAGTCCCAGTTACTGCAACTTAAGGCAAGATAAAGAAATAAAAGGCATAAGCAACAGAAAGAAAGATATATAATGACATAAAATGCTACTTACATATAAAGTTCTAGGGAATCTACAAAACCATTTCTATGACTAACAAACAAACTTAGAAAATCAGAGTATACAGGGCTAATATACAAAGCCCAACTCTTTTCTTATATACTAGTGGCTAAAAACTGATAATAAGTACTTTTAAATTCTATTTACAAAGGATACCAAAAGTAATATGCCTCTTATCCCCCCAAGGTAATATCACAAACTCTATAACAGAAAACTAAAGCAATCATTTAATTACTAGACTAATATTAAAACAATATTTTCAATCAGCTTTAGTTTAAAATCCAAGAGTGAATAATAATTTACTGGATAAGCACTATATTAGGCACCATCAAAAAAACTGAACTTAATAACATGGGCTCAAAATGAGCGAGACTATTTAGAAAAGTATTAAGTTTCTCATCCCTCAGCACATTTGTGGAAGGGTTAGATAGCCAAATGTCAGGGATGACCCAGATAGTCTCCACTTCTACTACCACAGCTACCATTTTTGCAATTAAAAAAAACAGGGGCCAAGTTGGCAGATTATATATCCACACCTATCCAAGAATTATAGAGAAACTATCATTATAAAGAGCCTCTGTGTATGAAAGAAGTGTCACAGTGTAAATTATTTGGTTGCTCCCCTGTGAAGAGCTCTGGATCGTGCTTCCACTCCCAACAAAATGGGAAAATTCACAGCAACAGCACCAAGCCCAGACCAAAGCTCACTTCTGCAGGGCAAAGCAATGCAAACTGTAAAAATATATAAGAAAAGAATGCCTAAACAATAATATCAGAAAAAGGAAAAAAGTTCTTTTATAAACTTCTAACATGATGTTATTTTCATAATACAATGCTAAAATAATAAAGGAAGAAAAACGTTTGGTCAATTCCTTAGACTTGGTGCTGGCACTAATCTTACTTAGCATTTTCATAAGTGAACTGAAAAAGAAATCTCCACACTTTCAAGGGAAATTAAAATTTTCATCTAAAAATATATTTAGTGTAGATAGGATCAAAGTAATTGTGAAGACTGTGAATAGGTAGAAGAGCAACAAATATGCTTCAAAGGTTAAGAAACAACTTGTAGAAAAATTTAAATATATATATTTATATTAATGGGTTCTATAATACAGAGCAAAATAAGATCCAAGAGTATTGTAGAACTGTCTGTGAAGATATCAACTAACAAACTCCTACACATACTGGACCAAATATTTTACAACACAAGAGAAGGCATTCTATCATTTTTTGAAAATATGACATGCCTATAACTAGAATACTAAATATAGTTCTCGTCACTGTACCTTAGGAAGGTCTTTATGGACTAGAAATGGAATATGTGTTTTTATATAAATGGACATCATATATAATTAAACAAAAAAGAAAGAAAAACAGGAACTGCATCTAATACAAGTAGTAATATCTTGAAATAAACCATCTTAACAAAAATGAAATAAATAGTAAATATACATGCCTTTTGAGAGAGAAGGCAAAAATTATATTTCTTAATCACTTTCAATGTACTATGTTCTAGGTCTGATAGATAACCTGAAGGAAATCATTTTTAAAGTAAAAAAAGAATTTGGTTAAATTGCCCTAAAAATTAATTTACCTTTCCTCACTGAAGCGACGACCAATCTTGATTTTACACTTATCTTTGGGGAGACATGCTGCTAGAAGAGGAACTGTCCGCAACACCTTGTTTTCCTATAATTAAAAAATAACACACTTTCAAGACTTTTTTCTTTTGGCCACACTGCACAGCATGCCACATCTTAGTTCCCCACCCAGAGATCATTGAATACAGGCCCTCAGCAGTGAAAGTGCCGAGTCCTAACCACTGGACTGCCAGGGAATTCCCCACTTTTAAAATTTTCTGATGAACATTTGATTCACAACACTATATACAACTTTCACAAGTTGTTTACTACAGACCACAATTTAATAAAACAGAGCTACAGTTTCTTCAACTTATCAGTACTAAACATAAGTGTATATTTTTATTCTATTTGGGTGTGTTTACATGTTTACTGATCAAAAAAGATAACATTAAACATTAGTTAAGATTATAAAAAAATGTAAAAGTGTTTAAATTGAATCAAACTTTTTGATTCAATTTTAAAAAAACCTTTTTTTTCACTACTACATTTTGTAGTATGTCAACTTGAAGCTAATTATCTACATATTGATGCCTCAAAAGAAAACATGTGTTCAAAAAACAACAGAATTGGGCATATCATTTTGGAACAAGAAAGAAACACAGAAGCCAAAATCGTAAAAGCACCCAATGGAACAACTTGAGCAATAAAATAATAAACATAGTATTTGGATTATAAACCAAAGTATAAAATAGAGTCCAGACTGATATAAATAAATGATTAAATAAATAGGAGAGAAGAGACAAATCTTCCTCATAGAAGAATTTCGAGTAACAAACATAAACTCTCCCCACTCCAGGAGGTGATGTTTAATCTCTCCTTCCTACTTGAGTGTGGGCTGCATTTATGACCTTCCATCCAAAGAATAAAGTATGGAAAGAGAAATAAAATATAATTTTCATGTGGAAAAAGTTGGTGACAATTTCTATAAATTGCATTAACTATCATCATAGTTAATATTCACCATAAATTTTTTCTCCTAATGTCCTAACTTCTAACACAAAAAAACCACCTTTCTGGTTGTCACAAGAACCTGGTTGTCACAAGCCTAGTAGAGTCAGATGATTAGCTATTCTGTCTTAGCCTCATACTAATCTTGGTTATTCTGGCCTACAGTGCTCAGTCACTGCCTGGCCTCTTCTGTTCTACTGGCCCAACTGGGAATGTCATGCTTAACCAATAAGGGACAGAGGCCTGGAGAATCCCATGGACTGGCAGGCTACCATCCATGGGATTGCAAAAGAGTCAGACAAGACTAAAGCAACCGAGCACGCATGCACATGGACTCCAATGTATTCTTTATCAATTTACCATCCTGTGTGTATATCCTCACAGTGAATAATTTGACTACTTTTCTGTCTGTAAAAAAGCGACAATGTACCAAAGGTGCTAAACATGCTAAAGGTGCTAAAGGTACTAAAGGTACTAAAGGATCAAATATTACTTACTTTCCTTTAGGAATATCAGTTATTCAGCCAATTAATACATAAAACAATAAAATTATACATGAATTTATTAAAGTAATTAAAAATAAATTTATAATTACATTATTTATTTTTGCACAGAAACAGAAAGTATTGTAGTAATGGTATTTAACAAAAACACACACACAGTTACTCTCTCAGGAACATTCTGCATTTACTGCTTTAACCTCTGAATCTAGGAAGTATTAATTAAAATAATATGTAAAAGGTAAATTTAAAGATGCTGAGAGTAGTTAAACTGATCGACCTAATAAAAAATTCAAAAATAACAGAAGAGTCAGAATTTGCTGTGATTTTAACTAAAAAGTACATGCAGCAGTCTGGAGCTCTGAAGAAGCCTGAAAACAGCAATTTGTAGCAGCTCCTATGGTGAATGGGACTAGCAGGAGGCAGGTAAGAGGGGAGTTTCAGGACATTTTCCAGTGTCTCACACTGTTTTCTTCCCTCCTTACCATCACTTTTGAAACTCTGATATGTAATTAAATCACCTTCCAAATTTTTGTCAAAGTAACACATGTGTAAAAGTCAAACAGTGCCAAAAGATTTAAAATGTTCCCAGATACAATCCCCAATACTACTTCCAAGGGGCAATTGCTTTAACTCTGCCAGCTATTTCTTCCAGTAGTTATGTCCATATTTCTATACATGCCTTGCTATTTCTTATCAATTTTAGATATTACATACAAACTATCAATTATTACCATCATATTAGGTAACCTTAATGTGTGTAATTCTAAGTGCATTTTATGTATTATTCATTTACTATTCACCATAAGACTCTTCCCTCATACTTTCCCTCTATCCTCAAACTTCCCTCATACCCTCAGTTGGTAAAGAATCTGCCTGCAATGCAGGAGACCCTGACTTGATTCCTAAGTCTGGAAGATCCACTGGAGAAGGGATAGGCTACCCTCTCCAGTATTCTTGGGCTTCCCTGGTGGCGCAGCTGGTAAAGAATCTTCCTGCAGTGCAGGAGACCTCGGTTTGATCCCTGGGTTGGGAAGATCCCCTGGAGAAGGGAAAGGCTTCCCACTCCAGTATTGTTGCCTGCAGAATCTCCATGGACAGTGGAGCTTGGAGGGCTGCAGTCCATGTGGTTGCGAAGAGTCAGACACAACTGAGTGACTAAGCAACACCCCATTCACCATAAACCAGTAACACAGTATATTTTTATTACTTCCATTTCATTAATGACAAAACTGAGGCACAGACAGACTGTCTTTCCCAGGGTTACAGAGTTTACAGAGCTGTGAAGAATTTAAACTCCTGAGCCTTACTCATTCTATAACTATAGCTTCTCATAATAAATGAAGATTTAGCTTTCTTACGACACTCCTTACCCTAACATCTTCTACTGTTTTTAGTGAAATAAATAAACAGTATTTACACCATTAATGGCTATATGTATATATATATTGTTCACAAAAAGCCAAGCTATTTAACATAACATTTCTTTTCTGTAAAGTTTTTTTTGTTATTTTTGAGGTAACTCTTTTCTTTCTATCCTCAAGTAATTTTCTATATGCATGTCCATACTCTTTGAAATGCTCCATCATCATAAACACCATTTCATCCATTCCATCAAGTCTTCTTTTCTCATAGCCCCTTCCTAGAGCCTATACAACTGGTTTTCAATCAGTTTTTAGAGGAAGTCATCAAACTGACCTGTTCTGTGACTGAAAACTGTATGCTGAGATTAAGCACAAGGCAGCCCAGTATGACTGAGTTAGATTAAGATTGTAAAGTTACTTGGGTGATAGAGAAAATCAATAAAGATGGACTTGTACACACGTGAAAGACATTTTCAGCATATACAATTATGGATGGATCATCTAAACTGTGGATTAACCATGAAAGAAGGAAGGAAGTGAAGAATAGAGAGAGGGAAGAAAAGGAAGTGGGGGGAAAGGCAGGAATGAAGAAAATAAGGAATAAGACATGAAAACATTAAAATTGCCACAAATCAATGAAAAACCTCCAGTTTAAAATCCATCTTATGTCTGGAACCAAATAACAATGAAAATACCCCATACTATGTATATTATGAAATGAAAACAACACTTGTCATCAAAAGTCAAGCTTTAGTCAAAACTGTTATGGCCAATAAGCTATCATTTTATGTAAATTTGAGCTACACTGGGTTGTAAGTTTAAATTCAGTAATATAATGCTAGTGATAAAAGTGTCACAATCCTGACAAAAGCATGCTGTTAACACTAGGGAAAAAAAAAAGGTTGCCCAGCAAATGAAACATCTAACAATTCACAATAAAAGTAATTATTTTATCATTTGGAAAAGGAAAGTGACAGGTTAACATCCTTTAATGTCTTTGTTAAAGTCTTCAAGTGCTGTATATTAATACTTCAAAAATATAAGAAAACAATTATTCCTCCTTCAAAGCCTGGAAGAATTTTAACTTCAGTTTACACTAAACTCATTTTTGTACCTGTATCACACATCAAAGAGTTTGGTACTGATGTCACTTTCTTATTATCTATGATCTCCTTCCCTCTTCTCTTCATTATTGCATTTGAGTTACTAACACACATACACATTACCACATGCATAATCCTCCCAATATATGAAACCATTAACTAAAAAGTCTTTATATACAACATATATAATATTTTATATATTTTTATTTTCATATATACATGTAAAATATACACATTTGTTCTATTCACTTAAAGAAGTAAAAAACTTAACAATCATTTCATAACACTAAAGTGCTGAGAGTAACTTCTACCCTAACAAGGAAAGACATCAAAGAACAAAAGCTAAGATCAAAATTTAAAAAGCAATAATTTCTTGACTCAACTCACAAAATTTCATTTTTTTCTCCATATAAAATCATTGGAATTCTAAATTTCCCTCTTACCATTCAGTAACACAGTTTTTATGAAATAACACCATTTTATGAAATACATTTTATCTGTCTATAAAGCATATAAATTTATTTTTAAAAATGCTGAAAAGCTGAAAGGGATGAGTATGTTCACCTGCATGCATCTTCTTGTGTACTAATATCCTACCTGACATTGTGTATTTCACAACACCTTACTCACCTCTGCTGGATGCTGAATTATATACAAGTAGGTAGAGATATGTACAGGATGCGCTGGTAGAAATGGACACAAACACACTTTCTGAGGCCGGCTAAAGGACAAAATAAAAAAGAAAAACTGTAGTATGTTTAAAATAAAATTATGTAACAATAACACAAAATTTGAACATAATCTCACTTAATTGTATAGATTTGCTAAAGCTGCATTCTTTTAAAGTGATATTAAGAAAGAATTTAATCAAACATATTTTCAATATGAGAATTTGAAAAATAAGACTCAGGTAAATTTTTTACCATCCATAGTAGATCAAAGTATCTCAAAAAATCTTGCCTTAATTATCTTCAGTGGAAGAAGAATCATAAGTCACCACCATGGTCTTTTTATTCATGAAGGAATACTTCTACTAACTTGCATTCCAAACCAAAAACAGATCTCATGTCAAATAGAAACCTGGCAACTAATCTGAATCTGAAGTTGGAAGCAACAAAGTGGTAATAAAATACTGGAATATAATCACCACATAGAAGACAGTACTAATCGAACTTAGCCATCAGTCAACATGGAGAGCTTAACAACTGTGAGGAGAAACCCAAACAGGGGCCACCAAAGAATATTGGCTAGAATTATATCCTCAAAGCATGTACCATACCCATCCATGTTCCCTTTTGTTATTGTTTACTCTGTTGCTTTCATTTTCCTTACTGTTTAGTGCTTTACTTGTTTCAGTAGCACTGACAAAACCCGCATGGAATAAAAGGGTACACTTCCCATTTCAGTTCTCCAGCCTAGTGCATTCTGTTCTCTAACGGCAAACAGTGAGTAGTTTCTTGTGTGTCCTTCCAAAGGAACTGAAGGAATATACATGGGTAGTTTATCATTACATCCTATATTAAATATGTGTGTTTATAACATGGAATTAATCAAGCAGCCAGATACAATATGATGGAAGCAAATGTTCACAGCAAACCACTATTACAGGCAGATGTCACATGACATTATAACAGTATACAAGTGACTGCTGTATTTTAAAGAGAATTCCCAACAGCATACTTACTACTAGAAAATTGATTGCTATCTACTGTTTCCTCAATTTTACTTAAGCTGAGTTATAGCCTGAGGTAAAAATATGTATATTAATAAAACAGTGTGAGTAAATTGGTTCGATTATATCTACCACCTCACTTTGCAAGAAACTGTTAAACCTTTGCTCCTGCTGAAGAAATTATCTAAATAATATTTGAGGCAGAGGTATAAACATATTGTACAAGGTGACCCCACTTCCCCTCTTCACTACTGAACCAAGAGTGAATGATTAACCCGAGGAAATCAATACACTTGTTTTCCAATGACATCTGAAATGATTTGGTGTGACTACTCAGTCCTACCAAGGATTCCCTCTTAGGAATGTGAGCAAATGTATAGGAACAGAGAGTCTTTCAGTAGTCACAAAAGTAAACATAAGTAAACACCAGAGGAGTGACTTACAGGACTATACAGTGACAAACAAGGGATTCACTGGTGGCTCAGACGGTAAAGAGTGTGCCTGCAAAGCGGGAGACCAGAGTTCAATCCCTGAGTCAGGAAGATCCCTTGGAGAAGAAAATGGCAACCCACTCCTGAATTCTTGCCTGGAAAATCCCACGGATGGAAGAGCCTGGCAGGCTACAGTCCATAGGGTCACAAAGAGTTGGACACAACTGAGCAACTTCATTTTCACTTTCAGTGACAAACAAATCAAGGGCTACAATTAGAAAGGATTTCCTATTCAATGGAAGGAGACAGGATGAGATAGCACTGACAAAACCCGCATGGAATAAAAGGGTACACTTCCCATTTCAGTTCTCCAGCCTAGTGCATTCTGTTCTCTAACGGCAAACAGTGAGTAGTTTCTTGTGTGTCCTTCCAAAGGAACTGAAGGAATATACATGGGTAGTTTATCATTACATCCTATATTAAATATGTGTGTTTATAACATGGAATTAATCAAGCAGCCAGATACAATATGATGGAAGCAAATGTTCACAGCAAACCACTATTACAGGCAGATGTCACATGACATTATAACAGTATACAAGTGACTGCTGTATTTTAAAGAGAATTCCCAACAGCATACTTACTACTAGAAAATTGATTGCTATCTACTGTTTCCTCAATTTTACTTAAGCTGAGTTATAGCCTGAGGTAAAAATATGTATATTAATAAAACAGTGTGAGTAAATTGGTTCGATTATATCTACCACCTCACTTTGCAAGAAACTGTTAAACCTTTGCTCCTGCTGAAGAAATTATCTAAATAATATTTGAGGCAGAGGTATAAACATATTGTACAAGGTGACCCCACTTCCCCTCTTCACTACTGAACCAAGAGTGAATGATTAACCCGAGGAAATCAATACACTTGTTTTCCAATGACATCTGAAATGATTTGGTGTGACTACTCAGTCCTACCAAGGATTCCCTCTTAGGAATGTGAGCAAATGTATAGGAACAGAGAGTCTTTCAGTAGTCACAAGAGTAAACATAAGTAAACACCAGAGGAGTGACTTACAGGACTATACAGTGACAAACAAGGGATTCACTGGTGGCTCAGACGGTAAAGAGTGTGCCTGCAAAGCGGGAGACCAGAGTTCAATCCCTGAGTCAGGAAGATCCCTTGGAGAAGAAAATGGCAACCCACTCCTGAATTCTTGCCTGGAAAATCCCATGGATGGAAGAGCCTGGCAGGCTACAGTCCATAGGGTCACAAAGAGTTGGACACAACTGAGCAACTTCATTTTCACTTTCAGTGACAAACAAATCAAGGGCTACAATTAGAAAGGATTTCCTATTCAATGGAAGGAGACAGGATGAGATATATTTGAGTTTTAAAAGTTTAAGTTTCTGGAGTCTATCCCATCAGGATGTTTGCATAAGCCTCAGCCTCATCCACAGGGATCAGACAGAAGAAGCAAGAATTACAATCCTATAGTCTCCAGAACAAAAGACACAATCACAGAAAGCTAATCAAAATAAAAATGCATAGGATTATGACCCAGATGAAGGAACAAGATAAATTCCCAGAAAATTAACTAAATTATATGGAGACAGGCAACCTTCCAGAAAAAGAATTCAGAATAATGACAGTGAAGTTGATTCAAGATGTTGGAAAAAGATTGGAGAAGATGCAAATAATGTTTACCAAAGACCAAGAACTAAAGAACAAACAAGCAGAGATGAACAATACACTAGAAGGAATCAATAACAGAATACCTGAGGCAGAAGAACGGATAAGTGATCTGGAAGAAAAATGGTGGAAATCACTGCCACGAAACAGAACATAGGAAAAAGAAGGAAAAGAAGTGAAGACAGCATAAGAGACCTCTGGGACAACATTAAACACACCAATATTCACATTATGGGGTCCCAGAAGGAGAAGAGAGAGAGAGGACCTAAGAAAATATATGAAGAGATAAAAGTTTAAGTTTCTGAATTTTTTTTTGGCATGAAACTGCATATGACTGCAATGCATGATCAATTGTCAATAACATTATTTTATAAAATGTAATATAAGATCAGATGAAACGACTTCCGCAGTGGTATGGTGGATAGGACTCTGCCTGCCAATGTGGGGGACATGGGTTCAATCTCTAGTCTGTGAATATTCCACATGCTGTGGAGCAACTAAAGCCCACATGCTACAACTACCGAGCCTGCACACTCTAGGGTCCGCCATCTGCAACTACTGAAGCCCGTGCAGCTGAGAGCCTGTGCTCTAGGGACAAAAGAAGCCAGGAAAATGAAGAGCCCCTGCACCACAACAAAGAGGAGCCTTCACTCTCTGTAAAGAAAGTCCAAGCACAGCAACAGAGACTCAGCACAGCCAAAAATATGAAAAAGATCGGATGAAGCCATTTTTTAAAAATCAGAATTTCACTGCAAATCAACTGACATATTTATAAACTATATGGTTCTAAGAATATGAAAGAATGCAAAAAAACTGTCATATACCCTATTTAGGAAAATCCACATATCAGTAGAGCCAAAGAACTGAAAAATCCAATCACAAAAACAAGCTGAGTGAAAGCCATAGACTTCTGTGGGTAGCAGAAAATTGGCAAAATAAACTCTTGTTAATAACATCTTTCCAGCTTGTGATTCATCACAAGCTGGAATCAGGATTGCCAAGAGAAATATCAATAACCTCAGATATGCACATGATACCACCCAAACTGCAGAAAGTGAAGAGAAATTAAAAAGCCTCTTGATGAAGGTGAAAGAGGAAAGTGAAAAAGCTGGCTTAAAACTCAACATTCAAAAAACTAAGATAAAGGCATCTGCTCCCATCACTTCATGGCAAATAGATTTGGGGGGAGGGGGGGGGGACAGTGAAACAGTGACAGACTTTATTTTCTTGGACTCCAAAAACACTGCAGATGGTGATGGCACACATTAAATTAAAAGATGCTTGCTCCGTGGAAGAAAAGCTATGACCAACTTAAGACAGCATATTAAAAAGGAAAGACATTACCTCGCCCACAAAGGTCCGTCTAGTCAAAGCTATTTTCCAATAGTTATATATGGATGTGAGAATTGGAAAATAAAGCTGAGCATTGAAGAATTGATGCTTTTGAACTGTGGTGTTGGAGAAGACTCTTGAGAGTCCCTTGAACTGCAAAGGAGATCCAACCAGTCAATCCTAAAGGAAATTCTGTCTTCGAAGTGTTGACTGATGCTGAAGCTGAAACTCCAATTCTCTGGACACCTGATGCAAAGAACTGATTCACTGGAAAAGACCCTGATGCTGGGAAAGACTGAAGGCAGAAGGAGAAGGGGACACAGCTTGATTCCAACTTGAGCTTCACCCAGCCCAGCATTTCGCATGATGTACTCTGCATATAAGTTAAATAAGCAGGGTGACAATATATAGCCTTGACGTACCACTTTCCCAATTTGGAACCAGTCCGTCATCCCATGTCCAGTTCTAACTTGTTGCTTCTTGACCTGCATACAGATTTCTCAGGAGGCAGGTAAAGTGGTCTGGTATTCCCATCTCTTTAAAAATTTTCCATATTTTGTTGTGATCCACACAGTCAAAGGCTTTGACATAGTCAA